GGGGGGGGGGGGGGGACTCAGGGTGGGTGACGGGCGGGGGTGCCGGGGGGTCTCAGGGTGGGTGACGGGCGGGGGTGCTGGGGGGACTCAGGAGGACGAACTCGTGGGACGAGTCCCCACTGAGGCGGGGGTGGGGCGGGGGATGGGGACCAGGTAACTGGAAGGCGGAGTCGGGAGAGTTGAGCAGGGATGGAGGAGGAGGGGTGATTGTGGGGGAGGTGTGGCTGGTGTTATTGGGGAGACAGTGATCTGGGTGGTACTGAGAAAACTCTGGGGGCAAGGTAGATCTGGTAGGTGTGGGCGACCTCGGAGGGCAGGAGGAAGGAGATGGGTAAGTCGGGGGTGGGTTAGATCGGGAGGAGCGGTGTTTGGGGGGCTGAGGCGGCCTGGGACTGTTTAGGAGAACGGTGGTTGGGGGGCTGGGGTAAACGGGGAGAAGGGGGGTCTGCGCGTAGCGGGAGTGGTTTGGGGAGGGCGAATCGGGGAGGTTAGAGGGGCTGAAAGGGGGGTGGGGGGCAGGTCGGGGTGCGGGCGGGAGGAGGGAGCCCGCTCTCAGCGTCGCCCCCCGTGCCCCCAGCGGCTCCCGCCATCTTGCAGGCGCCCGAGGGGCTGTCGCGGACCCGGGCGAGCACCGCGCGCTTCGTGTGCCGCGCGTCGGGGGATCCGCGGCCCGCGCTGCGCTGGCTGCACGACGGGGCTCCGCTGCGGCCCAACGGGCGCGTCAAGGTGCAGGGCGGCGGCGGCAGCCTGGTCATCACGCAGGTCGGCCTGCAGGACGCCGGCTACTACCAGTGCGTGGCCGAGAACCGCGCGGGGGCGGCGTGCGCGGCCGCGTCGCTGGTCGTGGTGGTGCGCGAGGGGCTGCCCAGCGCTCCCACGCGGGTCACGGTCACGCCGCTCAGCAGCTCCGCCGTGCTGGTGGCCTGGGAGCGGCCCGAGCGGCACAGCGAGCAGATCATCGGCTTCTCCCTTCACTACCAGAAGGCCCGGGGTACGCTGGGGGCTCCTGGGGCGGGCCCAGGTCGGGTGCGCAGCGGTCCCTGCTGGGTGCTTCTGCGGGGGGGACAGGAGCCCGTGGGAGAGACCCACCATAGATGGCTTCCAGCTGGTGCTTCCCTCAGCCACATTTGTTGAGAGAGGAGGGAGAGGACGTTCCTGGAGCCACCTCCCACCCCAGTTAACGAACTGCAGGGGGGGGGGGGGGGGGTCATTTCCAGAAAGCACCCCCAACCAGCGGAGGGATTCATAGAGTGAGACAGGAAGCTGAGGGAGTTTATACACTCCAGCAGATCATAAATACACACCGGGGCAATAGGAAGGATTCCCAGACCGCCTCCAGCTGGCCAGCACTGGGGGTGGCACTATGACAGTCCCCTCGTCCCCTGTGTCGCCAGGCATGCACAATGTGGAATACCAGTTTGCAGTGAACAACGACACCACGGAACTACAGGTTCGGGACCTGGAGCCCAACACAGATTATGAGTTCTACGTGGTGGCCTACTCCCAGCTGGGGGCCAGCCGCACCTCCACCCCCGCACTGGTGCACACACTGGATGATGGTAGGGCCTCTGAACCAGCAATGGGCAGCTTGTGGGAGAGAGAAATCCCTGGGGTTAAGAGCTCGCCTTCTCTTTACTAATGTAAAGGCATTTTTACCTGCTCACGTCATCTTTTGTGCCCTGTAAGAGAGTGGGCAGGGGTCCTTCTCAGTTTACAGTTGGGAAAGCTGAGGCCCAGAAAACGAGAGTGACTTGCCCAAGGTCAGTAGTTCAGCTGGGACTTGAGCCCACGTCTTGTGATGATTCTGTTTGTCACGTGGTTCTTCTCCCTGACACCTATGTGCCATCCACCTGGGGTAGGGGCCAGTGACATTAACCTGTTAGATGTGGAAGATTGTGCTCCAAGCCTTTTTCCAGCTTCAGGGTGGGAAAGATGTCCCCTCACCATTCAGCTTGGGGGCTCCCCTGAGAAGCTCCCTTTCCTCCCTCAGATCCTGGTCCTGGCCTACTTCTGACTTGCTGTGTGACCCAGGCAAGTCTCTGACTGCTCCCGAGCCTCACCTTCCACGTCGGTGGAGCAGAGCTCACGCTGATGTTATTCTGTCTCAGTCCCCAGTGCAGCACCCCAGCTCTCCCTGTCCAGCCCCAACCCCTCGGACATCACGGTGGAGTGGCTGCCCCTGCCCCCAAGCCTGAGCAATGGGCAGGTGGTGAAGTACAAGATAGAATATGGTTTGGGAAAGGAAGGTGAGTGGGGGCGGGAGCCTGGCATGGCTAAGAATGATCAGTGTGAAGAGTAGTCAGGGCTGCTGGAGACCTGAGCAGGGTAGAGGAGTCAGAGGAAGGAAGCAGAGTAGGGATTGGGGAAGCGTGAACCTCAAAAAGAGGGGTGTGGGCAGGAAGGAAAAGGGAAGACAGAGGGGACTAGCTGAAGGCAGAGGGAGGCCTGGACTCTCACCCCACCCCCCCTGCAGTGTGTAATCCTGAGTCCCTGCCTCAGTTTCCTTATCTGGGAAATGAGGCCAGTAACCTAGGTTATCTCTGGGGGTTCCTTCCAGCTCAAAAAGCAGATGCGGGGTTGGGAGGTTGAAGGTATGCTTGTGGGAATGGGAAAATGGGGCCTAGGGGAGGATGTGTAAGGGCAGATAGAGGTAATGTGGGGGAGGCATAATGAAAGGCCGGGCCGTGGCTGATGCCTGTAATTCCAGCACTTTGGGACATCAAGGCAGGAGAATTGCTTAAGTACAGGGGTTTGAGGCCAGCCTGGGCAATATAGTGAGACCCTCATATCTACAAGAAAAAAAAATTAAAACTTAGCGGGGTGTGCTGGCATGCACCTGTGGTCCCAGTTACTTGGCGGGGGCGGGGCGCTGAGGTGGGAGGATCACTTGAGCCCAGGAACTCAAGGCTGCAGGGAGCTGTGATTGTGTCAATGTACTTCCATCTGGGCGACAGAGCAAAACTGTCTCAGAAAAAAAGAAAGAAAGAAAAGAAAAGAAGGAAGGAAGAAAAACATAAAAAGTTAGGAGAAGGAAAGTGGCTGAGGAACCGGGGGAAGGGTCAGGCAGGAGGGAAGGATGAGAACCGTGGTGGCCCCCAGGGCTCTGGAAACCAGGCAGTGCTTCCTGGCCTTCATGGCCAGCCCCTTGTGCCTGCATCCTGTGTGTGTGTGTTGGCAGGGGGTGGTCATTGCCAGCTCCGGGGGACGCGGGGAAAGCCTGCCGTCACTCTCCCTGCAGCTGAGCCCAGACTGACGGCCTGCAGCAGCCAAAGTTGGAGGCTCAAGCATCATCCCTGGAGCCATAGAGTCTGCCCAGGCACTGAGGGGGTCAGTGTGGAGAATGCCTCGGGCTCCCACGGGCACGAGGAACCAGGACGGGAGGTGGAAGAGCGATGTAGGGGCGTTAGCATCCTGGTCCTCTGGTGGCACCCAGCAGCCCACCTTTTCTCTCCCTGCAGATCAGACTTTCTCCACCGAGGTGCCAGGAAATGAGACACAGCTTACGCTGAGCTCACTTCAGCCAAATAAGGTGTATCGAGTACGGATTTCTGCTGGTACCGCGGCCGGCTTCGGGGCCGCCTCCCCGTGGCTGCAGCACAGGACGCCCAGTGTGTACAACCAGAGTCACGGTATGGGGTGGGAGGAGAGACAGGACAGTGTGCATGTGACCTTGGGACCCAGCGCCCTGCCCGCCCTCCCTCCATCAGAGACCTTCCACGGCTGCCTCTGCTTGATGGGTGAACGGGGCTCTGGTGCAGAGGGGAAGGGCTGGGCGCTCGTGTCCCTTCTACTTGCTGTGTGACCTTGGACAAACCATTCTGTGGCTACATGTGCTGCCCGGGAGTGGCATGAGGTTGAATAATGTGTTGTAACTAAGATGCTTAGTACTGTTCTTTGAATAGTAGCTGCTTTGAAGAGGAGGAGGAGGAGGAGGAGGATTGTTTTTGTTGAAAGACCCAATAGAAGGGTGATTAAATGCTGACCAAACCAGGCTCCGTGCTCTCTCTGTGACACTGGGCAAATTGCTTAACTCTCTGAGCTTCAGTTTTCTTATCCATAAAGTGAAGTTTGTAGTATCTTCACTATTTTAGAGGGTTGTGAGGCTAAAGTGATCGTACATATACAAAGTACGTAAGACAGTGTTTGACACGTGGCTCCCACTCTCAGTGGTCTCCCTACTCTAATGGTGGCATCCCTCCTTCCTGGCCTCAGCGGCGACCCCCCTGCACTGCCCCTGGCCTCAGCGGCCACCCTCCTGCACTGCCCCTGGCCTCAGCGGCGACCCCCCTGCACTGCCCCTCCCTCAGCGGCGACTCCCCTGCACTGCCCCAGCCTCAGCGGCGACCCCCCTGCACTGCCCCGGCCTCAGCGGCGACCCCCCTGCACTGCCCCTGGCATTTCATCCCCCAGGAGACTTAACAGAGGCCGATTCTGTGCCAGGTCTATCAGCCTGCTCCAGAGGTGCTCCTTGCTGACTCCTTTGCAAATGCCCAGCAGACACCCCCTGCATTCCCCTCACTCTGTGCTTATAGAATAGTGAGTTCACCTCTAGACTGAGCCCAGGCCTGGCACTTAGGGTGGTGGCTGCGTGGTGACGCATCAGGAGAATGCTGGCAGGGCTCTCACTGAGTGCCATCTTCCTGCCTCCCTCATGCCTCTTCCTCGCCTCCCATCCCCGGCCTCCTTCTCATTCCCTGTTCTGTTCCTTAATTTTCCTGTCCTGCTCCTCTGCCCCCAGTTCCTTTTGCCCCTGCAGAGTTGAAGGTGCAGGCAAGGACGAAGTCCCTGGTCGTGTCATGGCAGCCACCCCCCGCCCCCGCCCAGATCTCTGGCTATATTGGCAGGAGGTGGGGGCAGAGGAGGCCAATGGTGATCGCCCGCCAGGGGCCCATGGAGACCAGGCTTGGGATGTGGGGCCCGTCCGGCTCAAGAGGAAAGTGAAGCAGTAAGAGCTGACCCAGCTAGGTGAGGAGGGCTGGGGGGGGTAGAGAGAGGGGCATAGGTCCAGCGGGGACCAGACGAGCTGTGCGAAGGAGTTAGAGATGGGGTGCTCTGTAGATGGGGGAGAGACCCCGATGTCCCCCTAGCCATGAAGCTCTATGGCCTTCCCCGGTCCCTGGCTGAACATGAGGACAGCGATGCAGCAGTGTGGAAGGGCAAGACGGAGAAGGCGCCCACACCAGGTGAGGGCGGCCGGGGAAGAAGGCGGAGAGGACTCAGGCCGGGGCTCTGCTAGCTGCCTCCTCTTCCTTTCCTTTGCTGAGCAGGCTGTTTGGTAGCTTCAGCTCACCCCCAAACCCTTTCTCCTAGGATCAGGGGTCCTCTTCTAGCTCCTGAGAACCAATGGCACGGAGAGAAGCTCTTTGCTCACTGTCTCTTAGGTCTGCCACCTGATTTTCATTAGCCATGAATGCTGCTGATTTGCAAGCTTTGAACAGAGGGAAACCCCATGGTTGATCAGTAACTCCTGACCCCAAGTTTGACCTTAAAACAAGTTTAATTTTTAACACATTTGTCTACGTCACATGATCAGACTATCTCTCCACTCTAAGAAGAGTGAGTACCCCTATGTGGCCTAGGGAAACGGAGGCTCAGAGAAGAAAAGGAACTTGTCCAAGGTTGCTCAGAGCCTAGACTAGAACCAGGACTCCTGGCTTCCAGGCAAACTCTTCCCACTGCTCTACGCCGCCTCATGGCCCTTCCTCAGTTGCCATCATGACGCTCCCTCACCCCTAACTTTCCAGCCACGTGGTTTAGCAGAGGGAGAACTCAACCAGAAGTCATGAAGCCGGGGTGTTTTGTTTGTTTGTTTTGTTGTGTGTTGTTTTTTGAGACAGAGTCTCAGCCTGTCGCCCAGGTGGCTGGAGTGCAGTGGTGCGATCTCGGCTCGCTGCAACCTCTGCCTCCCGGGTACAAGCGATTCTTGTGCCTCACCCTCCTGAGTAGCTGGGATTACAGGTGTACGCCACCATCCCCGGCTAATTTTTGTATTTTTAGTAGAGACAGGGTTTCACCAATGTTGGCCAGGCTGGTCTCGAACTCCCACCTCAGGTGATCCACCCACCCTGGACTCCCAAAGGGCTGGGATTACAGGTGTGAGCCACCACACCCAGCTGTGTTCTAATTCCAGTTTGTTCATTTATTCATTCAGCAAATATTTCACTGAGTGTCTACTAAGTGTCTACTTTGGGAATTTAGTGGTGGACAACACAAATAAGGTTCCTGTTCTCATGGGGTTTATTTTATGTTTCTGTAATATACTGTCATCACATGGTGTTTTATATTTCAGCCAATTTCATATCTATCTTTTAAAATATTAAATAATTTAGTCCTCATAACAACCCCATGAGGTAGGCGCTATCATTAGAATAGTGAATGGAGACACAGAGGTAGTAAGTAATTTCTCCAAGGTCACACAGCTGGTAAGTGTCACAGCTGGAATTTAAACCAAGGCAGCCTGGTTCCAGAGTTTTGCTGCCTCTCTATTACGTTCTTACAGACTAACGTTCCGCAGTCAAAAATCAAATTCTTAGAAGCCTCAGTTTCCTTATCTGTGAAGTAGGAATGATGCCACTCAACTCACAGGATCAAAGGAGAGGGTCAGAGAAAGAGCCTTGGGAACTGTAAACCACTATACATATTTAAGGATGAGTATCGACCGGGTGCGGTGGCTCAGGCCTGTAATCCCAGCACTTTGGGAGGTCGAGGAAGGCTGATCATCAGGTCAGGAGTTGGAGATCAGCCTGGCCAACATGCAGAAACCCTGTCTCTACTAAAGATACAAAAAATTAGGACTGGGCACGGTGGCTCACGCTTGTAATCCCAGCACTTTGGGAGGCCAAGGCAGCAGATCACCTGAGGTCGAGAGTTCGGGACCAGCCTGACCAATATGGAGAAACCTTGTTTCTACTAAAATTACAAAAGTTATCCAGGTGTGGTGGCGCATGCCTGTAATCCCAGCTACTCAGGAGGCTGAGGCAGGAGAATCACTTGAACCCAGGAGGCAGAGGTTGCAGTGAACCGAGGTCATGCCATTGCACTCTAGCCTGGGCAACAGGGGCAAACTCCATCTCAAAAAAAAAAGAGTATCCTCCCTCCCTTCCTCACACTCTAGTTTTCACCTTTCAGACACCCAAAGGGGGCCGCCCCTGCCCCCAGCCCACGTCCATGCGGAATCAAACAGCTCCACATCTATCTGGCTTTGGTGGAAAAAGCCAGACTTCACCACAGTCAAGATTGTCAACTACACTGTGCGCTTCAGCCCCTGGGGGCTCAGGAATGCCTCCCTGGTCACCTATTACACCAGGTGGGGACTAATGCCTTTACTAAAAAGGGGGGAGGAGGAGCCGGCAGGAGGCAGGGGGAAGGCAGCAGGTAGTGTTAAGGGCAGGGCCCCAGGATTCAGGAGCACGTCATGGCTCACCCATTACACTGGGGCCACACAGGGGGACTGCACATGGTCCGCGTCCTTGCCTGGTGACCAGATGGGAGCAAAGAGCCCATCCAATCCTGTCCTCGTGACACAGACCTGCTTCTCCAACCTCAGAGGGCTCCCAGTCTGATGGTGAAGAGAGCCCGGCCCCTCTCCTCAGAGCTGTTCTCTCCACGTGTTATCAGATGGGGTGACAGAGCCTGAGGAGCTGCTGGCTTGTAGGAGGAAATTCGCATAAAAAGCAACTGATATATGCCATTGCCATGAAGGCAAAATTAAGGCAAAGAAAAGACACATCAGAGATGATTCCTTAGGTAGAGAATAACTTGGTTTAATCCAGGAAGGCTTCCTGGAGGGGGGCGGCGGGGGTGGGGGGCTGGTTTCGAGCTTGGACTTGGAGCAGCATACATCCAGACTTCTCCGTAGGTCCCTGGGTAGAGGTAGTGGCTTTCAGGCCAGGGAGCATCTTCCCTTCCCAGGGTAGAGCCTGGGGCTGGCTGCAGGGGAGTAGATTTGGAGGGGTCTGCCCTGCTGGGAGTGTGCCTGAGAGCGCTAGTCACGTTTCTTGCTTTAGCAGCTCTGGAGAAGACATCCTCATTGGGGGCTTGAAGCCATTCACCAAATACGAGTTTGCAGTGCAGTCTCACGGCGTGGACGTGGATGGGCCTTTCGGCTCCGTGGTGGAGCTCTCCACCCTGCCCGACCGTGAGTGGCTCCCAGCCTCTGGCTGCCAACCTGTCTTTTACCCAACTCCTTCTTGCCCCGGCAGCAAGAAGCATCCCTCAGGACCTCAGGTTTGGGCAGAGCTGGGGGCAGAAGAGCTTCTGGGAGGGGAGGAATGTCAAGTCCCAGCACCCACACGCACTGACTTCTAGAAAGCAGACCTCATCTTTATGTTGTGGCTTGTTCCATGAAGGAGGAAGAAGGGAGGTCATGTCCTCAGGCTCTGTTCCACCTGTGACATCTCTCCCCGTCTCCCCTCCTGCACCCCAGGGCCCTCCACACCCCCATCCGACCTGCGACTGAGCCCCCTGACACCGTCCACTGTTCGGCTGCGCTGGTGCCCCCCCACAGAGCCCAATGGGGAGATCGTGGAGTATCTGATCCTGTACAGCAACAACCAGACGCGGCCTGATCACCAGTGGACCCTGCTCACCACAGAGGGTGAGGACTTTTGCGCCGGGACGTCTGAGCAAGCGCTGCCCAGCTTCTCCCGCTTCCAGCAGTGAGAGCAGTGCCCGGGTTTGTTCCACGGGCTTCTGGGAGGAGCAGGCAGAAGCTGCTGCCTGAGTGGAGGGCAGACTTTCCCAGTCCTGCGTCCCTGCCCGCCTCTGCATCCACCGCCACCCCGTCCACCATCCCTGCCCTCCCTGCCTCCCTCACCCCCAGGAAACATCTTCAGTGCTGAGGTACATGGCCTGGAGAGCGACACTCGGTACTTCTTCAAGATGGGGGCGCGCACAGAGGTGGGGCCTGGGCCTTTCTCCCGCCTGCAGGATGTGATCACGCTCCAGGAGAAGCTGTCAGGTATGAGAGCAGGGCAGCCGAGGGTTCCCAGAGGCCCCGGGAGCCGACTTCCGAGCCCCTGCCTGTGGACACAACTCTGATTTCATTGTTTTGCACAGCTGTCCTCGTTTGGTGGTGGCAGAGCAACTGTGAAGGGGAAATAGGCGTGGTTCAGTGATGAGTGATGCCTTGGTTCAGAGGTCAGGTTCATGGGGGACTGGCTTTGTTTTTTTTGAGACGGAGTCTTACTTTGTTGCCCAGGCTGGAGTGCAGTGGTGCCATCTCGGCTCACTGCAACCTCTGCCTCCC